TTCCTTCCCCCACAGTTACTGTTGCTTGTCCTCCTGTGTTGTGGCGGGGGTGGGGTGGGGGAAGTTATGTGTCCATCATTGCTATTGGGTCCCCCTTCCTCCCCTCCTCACCCCACCTTCCTCCTGCCCTCCTGGTATCAATACTCCCATTCCTGTTCCTGGATTCCGTGTGCTGTGAGCTCTTATCGCTTATCTGTTCCTGTGCACATGCTCCGCTCTAACCCACCGTAAAAAGCAGGACTGGGTCATGATCGTGCAGGGTGAGGAAGCCTCAAGGAACCAGAGGAATGGTGTGTGCTAGGCTTCACCCTGGCTGACTCATCCCTTCCTCATGACCCTTCTGTGAAGGGATGTCCCATTGTCTACAGACGGGCTTTGGGTCTTTGCTCCAATCCACCTCATCCTCAACAATATGTTTTGTTTTGTTTTTAAAACACTCAGTGCCATCGAGTCCGTTCTAAGTCAGAGTGACCCTACAGGGCAGAGCAGGCCTGTAGGGCTGTCCGTAAAGCTTTGCGGGAGCAGAAAATCTCATCTTTCTCCCAGGCCTGGGCCATACTGTCTCTTGCTGCTGTCGGGTGGATTCCAACTCATAGTCACAGTCACGCAGTGACGCCCTAGGACGGGGTAGAACTGTCCCTGTGGCGTCTGAAACTGTAGATCTTGATGGGAGTAGAAAGGTTCATCTTTCTGTGCTGAAGGGGCTGGTGGTTTCCAACTGTGGTTCAGCCTGATTGAATCATAATCACTACACCCCCAGGACTCTGGAGGAGGAAATAAAAACTCACTGTCATCGAGTCAATCTCAACTCATAGAGACCCTGTAAGACTGAACAAGACAGGGAAGGGAGGGGGGAAAGTGAATGATACCCAGGGCTCAAGTAGAAAGAAACTGTTTTGAGAATGATGATGGCAACAAATGTACAAATGTGCTTGACACAATGGATTTATGTATGGATTGTGATAAGAGTTGTATGAGCCACCAATAAAATGATTTTAAAAAGGGGAAAAAAACATGTCAAGACAATTAGACAGTCCTTCCCAGAAGGGCCACACTGATGAACAATACAACTATATCCTGTAGTCCTTTAAGATTTATTCCCCTTATGTGTTATACCTCATTAATCATGTTAGATTTGCATTTGCTCATTTGTATAGTTAAGATTGCTTGGTACATGGTAGTTAAGATAGATGATCCCTCAAAGACAGTGACAGGAATAATGGTTCCCTGAGGGTGCAAGAAGTGAGGGGGGCAATGAGGGGAAAAGGGTGTTGATAGAATAGATGATTGTTATAACCCCACTCAATGGAATTGAACAACAGAACTGTATGTGAATGGGTATATTGGAATGAGTAAGATATGTCAATAAAAAATTATTGTTAAAAAAAGACAGGGTAGAACTGCCCCAGTGGGTTTCCAGACTGTAACTCTTTTGTTTAAAATCATTTTATTAGGGGCTCATACAACTCTTTTCACAATCCATACATACATCAATTGTGTAAAGCACATTTGTACATCCATTGCCCTCATCATTCTCAAAACATTTCCTCTCCACTTAAGCCCCTGGCATCAGGTCCTCATTTTTCCCCTCCCTCCCTGCTCCCCCCTC